TATGTGTCTAGATCCCCCCAGCATGCAGTCTGGGATTGCGGTGGGCCCTCTGTGCACCCCTGACTCTCTCCCGCCCTTGCCCCTGCTTGCCAGGAGCTGATCAAAAAAAAGAAGTAACAAGCTACAAGCCAAACAAGCAACAAGCTACAAGCCAAGAACTACCCAACAAGCAACTCACAAGCTAATTAAGCCAAAAACAAGCCCAATTTCTGCTTTTTTTTCATGGGTTTGACACATCTGCATCCAATCACCATGGTATCTAGTCACTGTGGTATCCACTGTGCCATGAGGTTGCAGAAACAAAAACCTGCCTGGAGCATTTACGCAGCCCATAGGGACTCAGATAAGTTGCAGCCTTTAGGCATGTGATTGTCAGTGTTTCTTTTAAACTGTTATATATCCTTTGAGGTTATAAAATAGCTTAAACCCCCCGAACACTGATGCCCTATCAGTGCCAGCTTGAGCAGTACCCACCTCACAGCTCCCTGATAATGCCAGCATGAACTCCAACAGTCAGTGCAGTATATGATAGTGCACAGCCACCGTAGCAGAAGTTCAGGCTTGGGTCTGCATACAGGTGTGAAGCTTGGGTTTCCATTGCAATGTGGACACTCAAGTGTGGGCTTGGAAACTCGAGTCCACAAGCCTGGGTCCCACAGACCCGGGCTTAGTGTGCCATGTAGACCTACCACTAATGTGCCAGCTTGCCCTCTGCCAAGGCAGCAGCAGACTGAGTCATGCCCATGCCCTGCCTCTCCCCACCCCTCCCCCTGAGACAAGAACAAGAGAGGTTTCAAAATTAATATATATATTTTATTGAATAGTTGCTTTCAGTGGCCTGGAAAGCCACCCGTAGAATTACTTCTTTTATTTCAGCAGTGGTTCAGTAACAGTTATTAGCTTGCAAGAGAAGAAAACCAAACAGAAGAGGGTGCTTTAAAATAAATAGGTAGTTTTTTTTATCTTTAAAATAAACTTTTCAAATAAATACTTTATTTTTTCATAACTGGTACAAGAGTATTGTCAAAAAACAGTAACAGGGTTATGGCCAGGTATTATACTGTCTAGAAAGGCAAAAGAATCTCAACATGACAATTGGGGGAGGGGCTCTCTTTATACACTGTACAGGATACCATTTGTACCAGATAAACAGAGAGTTAGATGCTTCAGTCCTTGGTACTGGGCTTTCCTTTGAAGTCAAGAGGGAATGAGTCTTCGAAGGAGTTTATGCTACAGACAGCTGGGGTATAAGGAGGCAGCAGAATGTGTGAGGGAGCCTTTGAACAAAGCCTGGGAGTTCGGGGGAGACAAGAAGGGGGATTGGAGCAGCAGTGTGGGGGAACTGAATGGGCCGCATCCACAAATAACAATGCTCATCACTATTGAGGTCGGGGTTAGTACAGCCTAGGTCTTCAGTGCGCATAGGAACTATGCCCTGATGCTAGGCGAGCAACATAAGCTGCATTCACCACAAATCCCTGAGTTTGCTGTTGACAGGTTCCATCCTACTCCCATTGAAGTTGGCGCATGTCTCGCTGCTGACTTCAGTAGCAGTGGGGCCTGGCCCTCTTTCTCCAAACCCAGTTGCATCACGTGCAAAACTTGATTCCGTTTTGGTCAGCACTGATACATTCAGTGGTCTGCATTGTGAAAGGTTTCCTGCAAGGGACTGATTGAAAGAGACTTAGTTCGACTTGGCTCCCATCTATCCAAAGTCTTTCCTGACTGCACTCCACACAAAAATGAAAGATCTTTGGCACCGTTCCCTATCATCGTCTTTCTAGACATGTGCCCTTTGAGCATCTTCTGAAGTAGCTTGTAAGGGGTGGAACAAAGAATCAATTTCAGGTGGGCCCAGAAATGCAGGCTGGGTTTGATCACAGGCTATCAGTGACAGAAAGCATTTGCTAATGAGCTCTGCACTAGTGTCTAGTGTCTCACACTAAGAAGGACCCCTAAGCAGATTGGAATAAGGCGGTGGTCACTAAATAGTATTGCTTTGCCCACCTGGAATGGAGGCTGGGTACTGTATTTCAACTGCATGTGAACACCCAGCAGAAATGGACTGTGGATACTTCATGCAGAAGATCCTGAACTAGATTTGCTTGACCACCTGGAATGGGGTATTGAGCACGTCCACTCTCCCTTTTCCCAGGTGTGAAGCTCCCCTGGCTTCTGCAGGCTCCATCAGACTGGAAATGCAACAGTTGCAAGAGGCAGCTAGAGAGATCAGTAACAAAGTGTGTGCTAGGGAGTGGGGAAAATTATAAATGTGCCATCTGCTTATCTTCAGGTCAGTCTAGCCATGCAAACTCAGTGGGGTTTATTGCACTAATGCAGTTGTTCTGAAACTGCTGTTTTGTGCTTTTGGCCACCAGTGGGGATAGAAAGAGGTCAGGCCAGTGGGCTTAGGGCAAAGGGTGGGGAGTGAGTGAATCTGAGACTAGCCATCAGCTAGAAGCCCCTTGGAGATACTCTGTTCAAAGGGGTCATGCTTCTGGAATGAGACTAAAGTTGTTTCAGGTGCTGGGCGTGGTGGGGACAAGGATGTGGTTCTTTGTCTCTTAGCCTGCCCTCAGAGTGCTGTGGCAGGAGGGGGCACTTCACATCACTCTGCAGTGCCCCCTTCTGGCCAGTGCAGGAGTGTGGGAGGTGAGCAGCACCTCGCCTTCCTGTGAAAAAGAGAGGAGAGCTGCAAGGAGCAAACTTCCAAGTGGTGTTTGGAGCTCATATAAAGAGGGGCATAAGCAAAGCAAGAGGCTATTAAAGGCCTGGCTCTTTTGAGGCCCTTTTGTCTCATGCAAGTTCTGCAACTCACAGGCCAGTTCTGTCTCCCTTTCTAGCAGTGGAATGAGATGGGGAGGCAAGAAGCCACAGCAGATTCCTTTCCTTTCTCTGCTCCAACAGTGGGACCAGACAGGGAGGCAGCTCAGACCCCTGCATCTCCCCCTTTCAGCAGCTTGGAGCCCTACAGGGTCCTTTGACATAAGTCCCTTTTCCCCCATCTAAGTACGCTTTGCCTATTCTAATTTCAGCTGGAAAACCTACCCCAACCAGCTTTTATTTTCTGAATGAGATCAGATGCAGAACACCACATGCACTGAGCATAGCTTTCCACATATGGAGCTGTCTAACAATCAGACTCTGGGAATAAGACACAGTAAAATCCCAGGTGCACAGAGAGATCTGGGGAATCCCAGTCAAAGCTCTTACTCTCTGTCACAGGACAACTGTAACTTACATTTGGACACCGAGGTAAATCAAACATAAAACACTAGAGCAACCTGCTGCACACATTTGGAGCCGATCCCATCCCTCCCACTTTGTGGTGGTCCCAGCAGGCACTAGATCCATATCTGATGGTAAACTGCATGTTTTGACAGAAATGAAGAAAGCTCTACCAAGCTGGAGGTCTTGAGAAACTCACAGGGAGACCCAGTTTGAAGATGGGCTACTTGTTATTAATTAACCAATTAGCCCATGTTGTTTACCTTCAGACAGATTTTGGTAAATCCTAGCCTGGTGTTTTCTGTCCTTGTCTAATAAATAGATTCTCCTGCTGCCCCTCCCCTAGAAGAGGAAATTGATAGTTTTCAATAGAGATGAGGTGAGTCCCAACTAAGGCCCTCGATCCAAACAAATCTGAACTTTGAAGGTGGTACAACTCAGATCCTGAACCTGGTTCTGAATTTCACAACTGACACCAACAATGGCCCAACCAAGGCCCTGGTACCAAACAGCCTTGGATCTGATGTTTTGTGACTCGGTCCAATCTCTGGTTTCCACTCAAGTGTTCCATATTTTACAGAATGTATTGCTAAAAAATTGACAAATTACAAAATATTTCTAAAATATTACAAAATAAGCCAGATTTCGTGATCCATAACACCCATGATATGGCACAATGTGCTCTTTAGAGCGGGAACTTTCACACTGGCACAGAAGAAAGAACATGTAAACAGAAATCACCATGACCTGCCACTAATCTTCTGACAATTATTGGAGGTATCTGTGGTAGAATAACAGAAGCATAATGCCCATAGACTCATACTCCATAGGCATGTTGCCTGCACAGGGACTGGAAGATCAGGCCCTTCCTCTCACCAGGCAACTTCTCCAGCACTCTGACGAGTTCACCATTGTGTTTTCATGACATCATGATTCCTCTCCATGGAAACATTCAAGAAGTCACATCCATTATCAAGTAATTCTATGAGCAAGTGAGAGGAAAAGATGGACCATGAAGAAAGAAAGGCATTCACTGAATGGACATGCCCACCCCTTTAAAGGAAACCATGAAAAGCAAAGCTGATCAGGGAGGTATGTTTGTTTTTTTCCCCCCAATGAAAAGTTACACTGATTTTTCATCAAATAAACCTTTTCTAAATATTTTGGGTTCTTATTAAAATAACAAAAAAGAACATTTTTCCATGAAAAGGGGCTTTTTACATAAAATTTTTCATTTTGTGGAAGAAGTCATTTTCCATTAAAAAAATTCTTATGACAGAAAATGTTTGACTAACTCCGGTGACAAGTGAATGGTGCTAGCGAAGAAGTAAGGTGTGTCTCTTTATGGAAGTCCCTCCAATATACGTGTCTCTGTGTACCTTACTCTTTATCTGACAGCAGAAATTGGAATTATAAATCTGACCAATTATTGTCATATATATAAATATGTTTGCAATACATTATATAATTTATGGAACAGAGATGTGGATTGATCATCTATGCACACACAGATCCACACACCTCTAGTGGAACTCTCACAGGGAAGACCTGGTGTTTTTCACAGATCACTCTGAAGAGTGTTGCTATCCTTGGAGTTGCACATTCTGAAGCATTAAAACAATTCATGACTCTCCTCCTACTTCGCTGTAAGTTGAATTTCACTATAAGTGAGTTACAGTGTGTGTGTGTGTGTGTGTGTGTGTGTGTGTGTGTGTGTGTGTGTGTGTGTGTGTGT